CCTGCGTCCTATTCCCGGCTCTGCTGCTGATTCACTCGATGACCTTAGGCATGTCTCTGTGCCTCAGTTTCCCCCTCCAGTACAGAACAATGCCCCCCTCTGTTCCCAGCAAGATTCCCAGGGGCCTCATTCCCCTGATCGGCTAATTCTAAGCACGCTGCAGCAGCAGCTCTTTCAGCCTCTGTCGGGGAGGGGAAGCAGGAAAAGGGGTGCCAGGCATTAGTCACAATTCACACACCCTCCTCCAGCCAATTGAGGAGGAGCATTGAGGGATCCAAAGTCAAAGGCATCCTGTGTATCTCAGTTGTGCCTAGATGTGCTAGGCGCTGTACAAAGAGAGAGCAAAAAGATGGTCCCCGCCATGAAGGAGCTTGCAGATTCTAGCTCCCAGCCTCTCTTGTGGGCAGGAACCCCAGGATGGGGGAATTTGAGCCCCGAGCAGCTCGAATTAAACTCCCAACCTGCTCTCTCGTGTGCAAGCTTGCAGTGCGTGTGGGTGGGCCAGCATCCAGGAGAAACGACCAGGGCTGTTAACGACACCGACAAACTCTCCCCCGGCCTCCAGGCCCGGCTCAGCTTTTCCATTGACTCAGAGGAGCCTGGGTTGCTGCGAAACACCATTGGCAGCTGCCAGGAAGCACACTTGGCGTGTGGGTTACCGCAGCGACACGGCCCCCCCGACTTCCCCTGCTCCAAGAACCAGCCACTGCCTCACCGGCTTCCTGTTTTCTCTGCCACACACTTCACTCAGAAACACAGTCAGGCCTTTGCCCTGGCTTTTGGGATTTCCCAGCATCCCTGCCCTGTACGTAAGGGGACACACGCTGTACTGAAAAGGAAAAGCAACGGAGCGCAGAACTAACTCATCCTTGGGCTTGTCACGGAACCCCCTTGTCCATCCGTACCACTCACCAGGCTGTCAGACGGGAGGGCTTTGAGCAACTCAGCTGGAAAAAGATCTAATTCAGTGGTAGAACTGCCTTGGGGCTGAGTCAGGGGATCAGGACCTCTGCATGCAGTTCCCAGCTCTGCCACTAACTCCCTGTGTGACCTTTGACACGTCGCACCATCGCTCTGGACCTCAGTTTTCCCATCTGTAAAATGACAACTAACTATAAGCCGGTCTTTGCCTATTTAGACGGGGACAGAGAGTCTCTCAGGTTGTGTCTGTGCAACACCCAGCACAATGAGGCCCTGATCTCGGTTTGGGCCTTAAATTGCTCTGGTAATATAGATAAGCCTAACAAATGCTGTTTCCATTATGCCGCAGAGTTTCACAACGCAGGGGTGAATTTTCCCCGGATTCATCACAAATAGTCCGCAGCACGTATCTCCCAGCAGCCCTTTAGACGAAACAAAACTCATACAGGGTAATAGGGTGAAATTCTCCAGCCTCTGTTATACAGGTCAGACTAGATGAGCTAATAGGCCCCTCTGGCCTTACAATCTAGCACACATGGGCACATGCCTTCTTCAGTTTACATACAAGGGAGACTTTTCCAACCCAGGCGTGATCTGATCGTTGGCCCCAGGCATCCGTCAGCTGTGTCTGCATCGGCCCCTCTGCCAATGAGAGCAGGCGCTGATGATGTCATGTTTCCCGGGTGGAACGAACTGATGCTCACCGAGGAATTCTGGGAAGACGGGTCTTTCCGCTTAGATGAGCCTCCAACCCTCGTGCTCATGTAGTTGAATTGATTCATCAAAGCAAGGATTTTTATTTTTTTTTTAAAGAAGAACCGTAAGGCTTTCAAAGCCAGTCACCCCTGCTTTTGCAGGGCCCACTGATATGGACGGAGAGTGTTTTTCAGCCTTTAAGGATAGAGTCAGTGTAGCGGGGTTACCCGCTCCTGCCCTGAGGGGTTTAAAACAGCCCTGGAGGAGGGCTGTGGAAGGGCAAGGGGCCTGGGCTGATTGGGAGGAAGCAGGTTCAGCTGGAGCCATGCCCCAATCAGGGCCCAGCTGGCCCTATAAAGGCTTGAGCCAGGCACTCAAGTGGGCAGTCACTCTCTGCATTCAGAGAGAGAAGGGCCTGGCTGCAGGGAGTTTAAGACAGGGTACCTGAGTGGAGCAGGGCTGGGGAGCTCCAGCCTGGAAAACCCCAGGCTGTGGCCTAGCATTGGGCCAACAGGTACTGGGGGTTGCAGAGGCCAAGGCAGCAGGTCCAAACCCAACCTTGCCTGTGATGAGTGGTTGATACTGTAGCCTGCCCCAGGGAGTGGGGCTAGATGGTGACTGGCAGTAGCCTGACCCTGAGGTGAGGTGAGGTTAGTGGGTGGGGGTTCCCCTGGGAGGGGAGACCCAGAGTGTGCGGGTACTGGCAGGGGGCAGCACCCACAGAAAGTGGCACTGGGGTCCTGGGAGGGACATGGGGCCAGCGGCAAGGTGGATCACCGGCCTGCAGAGGGCGCTCTGGAGCTGGGATGAGCTAATTCCTGGAAGAGACCCGCAGGAGGTGCCGCGGGGTGAGTCTGACCCCTTACAGTCACTGTTGTATCTTTAACAAAGAACGTTTTTCTCCCCCTGCCGCTAGTCAGGCCTTTGAGTTAAATTGGCGTTAACAACACCTAAAAGTTTGACAAGCCTGGATAAAAGCCGCTCCCCATCTCAATCCAGTTTCATTATTTCTCATGGCACAATCTTGCCAATTCTCCACTAGTTCAGGAACAGGCCTGTGAAGATTTTTGTCTTCTCTCTCTCTCCTTCCCCTGCTAAGCAATCAAAGTGTGTGGCTGGCAAAGGTATGGGAGAGAGAACCCTGCTTAGCACCTCCGCTATTGTTTTGCCGTTCAAGCTGCAAAATCAAACATTTATTTTCCTCATTACAATGGCACTCTGCCAGGAACTATTAGGTAAATACAGGAGCTTTGGTTACACATTTGATTGAAAAAAGCAAGTCGGGGCAAAGTCTGACTCATAAATGTGTTTAAACAGTGACCTGACAGCAACAAAAAAGGGGGAAAAATTTTTTTTTAGTCTTAGATAAGCACTTGAGCATATGCTCAACTTTAAGCATCCTTTTAAAAAAAAACAAACACCTATTTAACTCAAATGCTCAGCAAACAATGGGGAAGAATGCTCTCTTTGTTAAAGATCCTCCCAGCTCCCGGAAGGCTGCTCCCCACTTAGTTCTCCGAGCCCCTCCAGCAGAAAAGCGACTTGACATGCCTGATATTTCTAAAAGTATAAAACCAAGCAGGGACAATTTTAAGTGCCTTTCAGGCCTTTAAGAACAAGGCAGCAAAAATATGGGTGTGACCCCAGTTTACTTTTCCATTTACAAGGGACCTTTAACTCAGCTCTGGCAGGAGGAAAGGAGTGTTTAGAGTGAGATTTCCAAAGCAGCCTTTGAAACGTCAAGGAGATGTGGGTGCTTAACTGGTGTAGGCCCCTGGGAAAACCTCAGCCTTTGCGCTTTTATGGTGGTCGTCACAGGCCTCATTCACCTTTGCCCTGCACCTTTGTGCTTGGAGTGTCTTGAAACAGTTTAGAAGTGTAAACTGTCACTTTAAATTTCAGGGGGGTTTCCTGGTTCTGCTTGTAAGAGCTCTGTAGGGAAGCATAAGACTGGATCTAGCAGCAATGGTCACTCTCTACAGAGCGCCAACCTAGAGCAAGGTGGAGTGAGCTGTACTTCTGTTTTTAGATTGGGTGACCAGATGTCCCGATTTTATAGGGACAGTCCCGATATTTGGGGCTTTTTCTTATATAGACTCCTATTACCCCACCCCCACCCCGTCCTGATTTTTCACACTTGCTATCTGGTCAGCCTAGTTTTATGGAGTTTGCCTCTCTCTGTTTTGTGGTTCTTATGTATTAATGCTCTGAGTGCTAAGAAATACAGTTGTGTTATGATCTTCCAGCAAAAGAATTTGTTTTTATCTAACGTCTCTGTGTTCAAGCCATGATTGTAACAGGGCCGTCTTTTACATCAGTGCAAAGTGAGCGCAACAATGCTACCATTGTGAGGCAGCGGTGTTTCACGCCCCACTCGGCACTGGTGCAAGGAGGTGGGGAAATCAAGCCTCATGGAGAAACTTTGCTCCGCTTTGAAGAGGGGGGCTGCTCTGTGCACCGCTCTGTGCACCACTCGTGTCCCTTCTGCACATGGGTGAATGTCACCCTCCGTCCCGCTCTTCAGTCTTATCACGGGGGCAGCCCTGGCCTTCAGACACACCCCTCAAATTTATGAAATGGGTGTGAGGATATCAGTGTGGCTCTCTAGCCCCCTCTAGTGGCTACAAAACAGAGCCTGATAAGTCTGCTCCTGCCTAGAAGCTAATAATGATTCATGTGGCCTTTTCGCTCACGCTGGAGAGGCTGGGTCCAGCCGTGGAGGCTGTCAATCCACTTGCATCTAAGCCAGCGCAGAACTTGTCCCAAAAAGGGTTGTTCGGTCTTTTGTGTTTGATTCTGATCTCCACAACAAATACTATGAATAAGGTTACGTTTTAGTCATGGGTATTTTTAGAAAAAGTCGGGGGCAGTAAACAAAATTTCATGGCCCGTGACCTGTCCCTGACTTGTACTATACCCCGGACTAAAACTTGGCTGGGAGTGCTCTGAGGGGGTGGTCCGGGGACACAGCAGGTGCGAGGGAGCGGGGGGGGGGGGGAGGCAGCTCCCATTGGGCGGGAACCACAGCCAATGGGAGCTGCGGGCATAGTATGCAGAGCCCCCTGACCCCTCTGCCTAGGAGCTCGAGGGACATGCTGACTGCTTTCAGGGAGTCCCCCTGCCCCCCAGAGGGAAGCCCCGCCCCACACCCCAACCCTGAGCCCCTTCCCATACCCAAACTGCCCCAGCAACTGGCCCAGGGGCTGCCTAATCTGCTTGGGCAACCCCAAAACCAGCCACACGGGCCGCTGCAGAAGTCACGGAACCCTTAACCATGAATAGGGGGTGGATGGGTGGGTTCTAAAATATACACCACCATGAGCAGGGGGAGTGTGTGTATTAAAGTGTACACACACACACCCCAACACCACTACCACAGCAGCTCAGGAAAGCACACACATTTAATCCTTAAAATGCAAGATCATCAGAATTACAAAAACAAAAAACTTTGGTTACGTAGTATTTCTCTCTTTTCATACAATTCTGAAATTAATTTTGAAACATAGCATATTTTAGTAGACCGGTGGCCTAAGTAAAAACACAACACCACAAAAGTGTTGGAAGGGAAATTACCATATCAAATCCGTTTTTTTTTTTAAATAACAAAACTTGACCATCAGAAAGCACTGCCAGCCGAGAACAGCGTCTCATCCTGCTTCAGATGGGCTTGCCGAGACTGGAACAGAAAGGCTTATGGACCCACTGCGACGACTCTGAGGTTCTCATGGGTTCTCTTGCTAAAATGTGATTTATACAATGCTACATTGGATGAAAAATCAAACCGCATTCTCTTCCCTGTGCCTCAGTCCCCTCCATTTAAATAAAGCTGCTTCTCATCTTATTTTGATTACATACTGTATATTACTTCAGCTGATACCCAGATTAACAGGAGCCTGCATCCAGAGTGAAATTGACACCCCCCTCCAAAGACATATCCAACCCTGATTCAGGAAAGCACTGAAGCATGTGTTTAACTTTAAGCACCCTTCCCAAATAGGGATGCTTTCCTAAATCAGGGCGTGGAGGCCAATTTTGCTGGCTTATATGATGCATTAACCTTGGTGCTGCTCCCCTCTCCCTGCGCAAGGGTGAATTAAACCCCAGCTCTGATAGAACTGAGAGTTTCCCTACCCTACTCCCCCACAAGTTCAATATCTCCCTTCCCTAACCCCTCACCCCAAAGCAGATTTTCTTTAACCCCACAGATTGCAAATGCATTCTGGTTCCTTTGATTACCATGTGGGGCAGCCTGAGCTGGGAGCTCCTGAATCATACCCCAGTAGACACCAACTCGCTGATGGCAGGACACGTCCCCCGCTGTGCCTCACTTTCCCCCAGCTGCACAGCAGGTATAATGACCACACTCACCCAGAGGGGTGCTGCAAAGACTAGTTCAAAAAGGGCTATGTAATGTCACCCCCAACTCTAGCATCCAATTGTACCTCGCAGATACTAAAGCTTTTGTTAAACCTTCCAGGGCCTTTCTGCTTCCCTGCTCTTTAGGGCACAGATTGTCTGTTCTGTGTTTTTACAGCACCTAGCACCATGGGGTCTTGGTCTATGACTGGGGCTCCTGCATGCCACTACAATACACACAAAGAGGGAGATCACACCTGGTTCTGTCTTATTTCTGGTGCAAGGTGCAGGACCGACAGCCTCTGAGCCTGAACCTCTCGAGGTATCCTCCATAAATAAGGATGCACGTTGCTTTCGTAGAGACAGCATTACAGCTACAAAGTGGAGAGGGATTCAGACGCAGCATTCATTTCCGGGTATCGACCTCATCCGTCAGTGCAGCTCCCAGACCCACCTGTTTGAGCCTTTGCTTGTGGGACATATGGACAGACACAGACAGTAGTGTAGGACGTTCAGGGCTCCGCCACCAGAGAGTCTCTCTAGGGTGCACGTACCATAGAGACGTACAGAGGTTAGATGATTCACAAGACGAAAGGGAGGAGGGGAATTCATGACACACTGAGGAACGTGTCTGGGGTTTTAGCACCCAAGGCTTATTGACAGCCACCACAGACTATGGGGTTACATAGCTGTCGGACTATGGGGTCAGGAAGTTTGTCGCCTTCATGCAAGTGCCCCCGCAGAGTGGACCTGGCTTGGGGGCACATGCGGTTACTTGCTAACCTGCAGTGTCAGTACCTGAGTCCTTTTTAGGAGTCACAGGCCATTGCGGTTATCACATGAGAGCCCAGAATGACAATTCTGGAGAACGCCAGTTCCTGGGTGCCAGGTGCACCAGAACCACCGCCCCAGCATGAAAGTCCGTCCTTAACAACAAAAGCACCAGCAGGGTGGCGGACAAGGGCCATTTCCAAGGAACGGAGCCTGGAAGAGATTTCGAGGCCAGATTTTCTGGTTTTTGCAGGCCCAATTGTACCAACCTGCAATTTAGGTCAATTTGCTGCTTGAACTCCTGATTTGCAGACAGAGTCCAGGCCATGGGGCCAAGTTTGCAAGAGGGCTCAGTTCCTATGTAAGTACCTAAATAAAATGGGACCACGTGTTCCTTTGGGGCCAGATTAACTAAAGAGCTGTCTCCCATCCCCTACCCGCTGAGGATAATGGGGAATCTCACACCCATCCCTCTGAGAACAATGGAAGCTGCGGGGTGGCAAGCATAAATCATTTAAGGCCTTGGCTACACGGAACATTTGCACTGGCATAAATCTAAGGTGTGAATTTAAATCAATATACGGATATAACCCGTGTGGAAACTGATTTCCGTTACTCGTGGCTGATTTTGTTTAACTTACGTCAATTGGGAACAGGCTTAAATTAAACTGAAATAAGCCCCTCCTCTCCTCAGAGCCCACTCAGGGGTTTGCACTGATTTAACGATATTAGTTAAAAAACGATTTAACTTGAAGTGGTACAAATTTCCCATGTAGACAAGGCCTCAAGCAATCTGAACTGCCAACCCACGGAATCGTAGACACGAAACCGTGTCTGAAATCAAGGGAGCTCACAGCAAAAGAGGCCAAGTTGATAGTGTGGCCCCTTCGATAGTTTAATGAATAGTTGCCACCTGAAAAGTATCTCCTTCGTCACCTTCAACTATCAGCAAAAGATTAACGGCTACTTTCCAACGGGAACTATGCAAGGTGCGTGTCCCCAGGAAGGGGAGCAGTAGCGTTAACACAACTGGCTTTACCAATCAAAGTGGATTAAACAGAGACAGTAAAAATGATCCAAGCTGTGGGTCAAAGACACCCCCTGCTAGTCCCCTCGGGAGAAGGAACAAACGCACTGGGGCATTCTGTATGGTCCATTTCCCCACCTGCAGGTCGGACCGTGCCAAGGCACGGGTAGCTCACTCTCCAGCAGGACGGTAAAGACAGCAGCCTGAGATTTGGGGGTTATTCCCTCTCAGTGACTCGGAAACAAACGCGTCCAATTCATGAGCGCCGAGGAGTTTTTTCCTCATTGTGAGCCCTGCAAACTCAGCCAGGGCTCCAAAAGTCAAGCCAGGCTCCTTCCTTCTTGTGCACCCACCCCGGGGTGGGGGGAGGAACAACCGAAAAAGCCCTATAGAACCTGTAACTGGAAATTAGAAACAATTCCATAGATGATGCACAAGGAGGAATAGACCCGAGCCCCCTCCTCACAGACCTGGGCTGGTTCCGTGGGGCTAACGAGGAGAGACCCCAGCCCTCTCCCCAGGCTGGCCCCGGTTCACTAACAGGACCCCAAACCAGTTTGTCCTGGCCCTGGGACTAGCTCCCTTTCACAGTCGCTTTCCAGGGCAGAGCTTTAGGAACCAATCACTAGAAACCCCTTCACACAACCCCTGGACGGCTGGCTGGAATTCCCTGTCCCGGGGGTCAGTTTCCAAAGTTACCCAGCCAGGGTTTCAAAGGGATTGGACAATTACGACCACAGATAACGGGGAAGTTGGGAAGGAAGAGTTTTCCTTTACGTACGGTGCTGCACAGTCAGGCAGGTACGTGACAGACCCAATGGCTCACAGGAGGCAAGACGGCTGACTGGGTCACGTGAGCCGGGGGAGACGGGAGAGAAGTTCCTCTCCTTTATTGCTGTTCCCCGAGGGGGATTCTGGATAGAAACAAAGCTGCCAAATCCACAGAGGGTTCAACGAGAGTGGGGCCGAGATCTCCCCTCCCACGATGTCAGTCCAACGACGGGGACGCACGGGGTAAGCCTGTGCACACAGAAATGGGACACAACGTGGACTGGGACTCAGGGGCTGCTGGACCTGGGCGTTCTTGCACATAACACGGCACAACTGCTCATGACCTAGGGCCCGGCGACACAAGAGGCGGCTGCGGCAGGGCAGGGTTTAAAGAAATCACTGTAAGAGAAAGAGGTGGTTCTTGTGGGCACAGTCCAGCCAGGATCAAGCCCCCGGGTACCTTTGAAGTGCAGCTCCACTTTGCACTGGGGGGTGCCACTCTGCTGGCATTTTGGTTTGGCTTTCCTATGAAATCCCCCGCTGGAGAAGGAGCTCCACGGAGGTCAGTTCCAGAGCATCGCTGACAAAAGCGCCTACGTCTGGCTTTTATTGCAGAGGCCGGGGTCCACGTCCCCGCGAGACAGCTGGACGTGTTTCGTCCACACACAGAAAGAGGCCGCTCGTTTAATCCCAGAGCGGATTGCAATCGCGTCCCTGAAACCCGAGCGGGCACCAGCCCCGGTGTCATTTCTTCTCGGGGCTGCTGCTGGCGGAGGGGCGCACCACCGTGATGTGGCTGAACTTCTCGAAGATCGCCTCTGCCGACAGCTTGGGCAGCCCCCTGTCCAGAGGGCACTCATCCACCAGGCTGTTCATGGGGGTGGGAGGCAATGGGGCATCGTCCTCCAGCAGGGCATCCCCAAGCCTCGGGCACCTGGCAGGATCTCTCCTGCCCCTTGGCTCGTACTCCGGGGCACCCGCTTCGCCAGCCACATCCGAGTCCTCCGGGTTCTCGTCGCTTTCGCC